TTGAACAACACAAGAACCAGTCTGTGTCATTTGCCTGTGACTAGTCAGTTCCTTATTTGGTGAACCAAGAAAAGTTTCTTTTTCTGATTTGCACAATCATCTGAGACAGCAACATTAGATACACCTTTAATGATCATGGGACACATTATGGAAGATTAACTATCCATAGGTGACAGGCATCTGAAGAAAAGAATCTTCATATGATTGTTTTAAACATTGAGAAATTTTGAAGGCATCTTAAGCTTTGAAGGATTTCCTTCAAGAATGCATGCTGTTTACCTCAGGATACACTACATTACCTCAGGATACACTACAACACCATCCTGCATCAACAAGCAATGTGGAATCGAGTTAAGGATGTCTGCCTTTAATTCTTCAGCTTTAGGAATAATGTAAAACCAAGGATATTTTCCGTTTAATTTGGATCACTTATATTGCAGTGGATGTCCTTGGTTATATTTGAAGATCTTCCTATGAGTAAATTCACTGGGTGTTCCATCCTTGAGAGTTACCAGTTGCTTCATTTCCAGAGATAATGCTCGGTGTGGCACTATTGTATGAGAGGGAAAGTAGCCAACCAAACTCATTAGACAGTGCATTCCATCATAATTAGGAAAATCCACTGGTGTATGTATTCCCATGATGTCTACTCATCACTGGGATTTAAGTGAAGATAGAGAACAATTGAGATTGCGTCCTAATGTTACCTGATCTCTCTAATGATAGTTCACAGTACTTCTTTTGTTGGCCAGGCATTGCACTACCAGTTTCCACAGGCACAGGATCTTCTTGCCCTTTCTTGCAGTCAAACCATTGACATCTAGTCACCACGCAGCATACAACTTGGAGGATTGATCTGTTGTGGCTCAGCTGTTTAATGTCATGGCAGCAGACTGAAGACCCTGCAGCCAGACAAGCATAATTTGCAGACTAGAACCATGTCCTGTTTTTGTTTTAACCAAGATGTGGAGGGAAAAAAACTAGGGGATTCTTTATTTCTTTTTCACCTCAGTCAAGAGGGACTTCAGCTTCACTAAAAGTTTATTTTGTGACTGAGTATTTGGTGTCCTGACCACATTAGACCACAGTCTAATATCTGGTGATATTTTGTGTGTGCGTGTGTATGTGTGTGTGTGTGTAATTTAAATTCCCCAGTAGTTGGTGTTATTCCAGCTTAAAGGTTTTCTCTATTGTTTTATAAGTTCTGGAACTATCAGCTGTAGATGTTTTCCATAGGGAACAGAGCCATAGGATGGTTATGTCCTTCATATATCAATTAAAGTGGCATGTTCAGTTTCCATTACATTAGCTTGTAGAACTAGTGAATTCTGCGCCTGAAGATGCAATGAGTAACATTTGATTATTCCCAAGGACAGTGTTATATTATGAGCTGCTAGCACTTGTTTCCCTAAGGCAGTGCTGGCATTTCGTATCTCACAAGATAATTCACTTCCAGTTTTCATTTAGAATCCAGTTTCCCCTGTTGAAGTGTCTGTGCACATTCTAGATATTTTGGAGCACTCCACTTCTGAGTTCAGTCTTGTATCAGGATTGCACCAGTCCCGCATATTTGTAGGCTAAATTCTTCTCCTTTGCTTGGCCTGTGCAAAGATTTTTCTCCATTATAAACATGTTAATCTGTTTATTTATATTTGTAAGTATTTCTCACCCACCAATAAAAGCCTTTGAATTGCTTTTAAGTACCATCACTATTAACGTCTATGCTCCCAATGGACATTAAACAGCCTTTAACAATAACTGTTAAGACTATCACTAAGACCACGGTCACCATGCTGGTTCCTTTTGCACTATTACATTTCACGTTCCCTCTCCCCCCCCCATTTTTATAAATGTTTGTTGAGCATATACTCCCTACATCTGATGAAGCAGGCTTTGCACTGTATCAGAGTGTATACCAAATTTTTATATCAACTGTATAACTTTACATGCAGTTCAATACTTTTGGTCTGTTCAGGGGGATTGAAATCAGTAATCAGTATCTACCTACTGATTTGTAAGGCGGCTTAATGCTGTGAGTTTTCTTATTAATGGGCTACAAAAATTTCCTCAGGAGATTAGAACATATTTTTTAAAAGTATGATAGTTATATGTATGGTTATCTTGGAAGCACACCACTACCCAGTGTTTGATAGCCCACTCTTTCTTATGTTTAAACAGCATTATGGCCTGGTCAAAAAGCAATGGCAGAAGCTGCTTTTCAATAGGCTGTTTAAACATTTGTATTGGTTTGATGTTCACTGTACCATCGATAACAAAGCTTATAATTATAGTCACGGAATTTATGATGTCAAAGACCAGGTGGCTTTACCTATAACTGTGATACCCAGAGTGGTCATCTCTGAACTCAGCCATCTTTCTCTCCACACTGAATATCCAGCAATGCTGTATCACTACTTCTCAGATTTGGAACTGAAGGAAAATGGGATCCGCACTGAGGGCATACACACTGGACTAAGTGGGACTCTTGCTAGAATGTTTTGAACTATATCTGCACAAGTGCCCAAGACCCACGTGTGTAAATTCACTGATAAATGCCTGAAGAAACATAGTTATGAAACAGCAGTCTCTTTTTCTGCATCTCCAGAAAGGGCGTTTGAAAATGTATTTCATATATTGCTTAGGGAAGATAAGACTAAAATGTTCCACTTCATCATAATAATTTATGTTCTCATGATAAGGTAAGATTTTACGTTTGCTTGTCTCCATTGTCCTCTATGAAAACAAATAAATAGATTATTTAATGTGTTTAAATAAGGTAAGAATCACAATGTGGATAAGAGGTTTTCCAGACAGTGGCTAAAATTTTCTAGTGGAACTTTTGCAATGTAAGGCTAGTGGTGTCATCAGATGTGGCTTCCTCCCCTCCCAAAATAAACATTTCTTATTCCCCTCACTAAAAGTTGTGAGGTTCCTTTGGGATCCCTTTCAACATGGGGAAGCCACTGGAGGCTATTGGATGGGGGACATCTTTATTTCCTGAAAAATTATCCCACCCCTCTTATTCACCTTACTGATCCTCAGCCTCCAACACTTCCCCACAATAAAAGAGATCCCAAGGAAGCCTTTGGAAATTCAGAAAGAATTGTTAATTTTTAATTTCTAAAAAATTGTCATGGTTGTCATCAGCGTTATGTGGCAGAAGATACCCTACAAGATTTTAGCAAGTATGTCCTAGATGTATAAAATTTTTGTACAGCTCCTTCACAAACACCTATTTATTGGCATTCAGAATATAAATTGTAATTTTTGTAAAACAATCTCTCTTATCAACAGCAATTACACATATTTTATTCCATAAAAATACAGTGGTGCCTCGACTTAAAACTGTCCTTACTTACGACCAATTCTACTTATGAAGAGCTCCGGTCAGTGGTGCCTCGACTTAAAACTGTCCTTACGACCAATTCGACTTATGAAGAGCTCCGGTCGAAAAATTTTGCTTCTACTTGCGACTGGAGCTTCCACTTACAAACAGAAAAAGGCAGGGGGAAAAGGCAGGAAATTCAAGTTGCTAACTGTAGGTGGCGAAAGAGGCTGCTTCTTTGTAGCTCTTTCACCCCGGCACTTAGAGAGTGTGGGGTCTGAGGAGGCTGCCTGCTAAGGTATGGTGCTGCTTTATACTTTTTAAAAACTGTTCATGGTATTTTTGCAGCGTGATTTTCAGCTGGGAGTGTTATGTTTCTGTGCTGTGATGGGTCTTGGGGTTTTTTGTTTTTTTGTTCCCCCCAGTTTCCGATGGGTCTTAGGGGGTTTGGTTGGTTTGGGGGGGTTCCCCCATTTTCGATGTGTCTTGCATGCTTCCGTTGCTTTTTGCTTTGTTCTCTTTGCATTTCTGATCTGCTCCCTTTGATTTCTGTGCATTTCCGACCTTGTCCCTTTATTCTGTCTGCATTTCCAATCTGCTCTGTTTGTTTTCTGTGTTTTCTGTGATTTTGCAATGGGTCCTGCGTGCTTCCCTTGCTTTTTCCTTTGCTTTCTGTGCATTTCCGAACTTGTCCGTTTGTTCTCTGTGCATTTCCAATCTGCTCTGCTTGTTTTCTGTGCTTTTGCAATAGGTCCTGCATGATTCCCTTGCTTTTCTCCACCACCACCCCTTAGGCTCAAAGGGATTAATCATGTTTCCAATGAGTCTTGCAGTGATTTTTTTCACCTGAAAAAAAAATGAGAAAAATAAAAATTCAGAAGTCTTTTAAAAATTGAGAAGTACATGTTGACTCATGGTCTGATGTCTCCAAGTGAAGCCATTTTGGGTAAAGGGAGAATCCATGTTTTTTGGGGGGGGGTGGCAGAGAGGAGACAGTTGCTAGTTTTAGGGAAGCCTCTCTTGCAAACAGGAGGACAGGAAACCCAGTCCTTTAACAGGACTGGGCCAGGGCTCCCTCTCTCAACCATGCATGGACACAAAGGAAACTGGAAATAAGTGCATTGCCTATCCACTGTTTACAGCATCCATGGGGGGGACTTGGAACCAGTCCCCCACAGATAGTATATTTTTACTGTATTTAAGAATAAGAAAGTAAGTAATCCTAAAATATGTATTGAACATGTAATGCGTGCCTCAACCCTAAATCCGTGTATCTCGGCACTTTATATAGGATTTATAAAATGCATTAAATGAATTTTTTATTATTTAAGCAGCCATATTCACTAGATACCACTAGCACCTTTGTCCAGTAAAGATAATCTACCTGTAGAAGCAAATTTCTGTAGATGCCCTGACCATCTGCAACCAGCAGATTCTTAACCATAAATCACACTAACAGCATTGATGCTGCCGTTCATGTAATGGAGAACAGATTCCACTTTTCTACCTAATAATTGACATCAATAGTAAGAACCTGTGCATCGTGACCTTCATATTTAAAATGAATACATATATCTGAATAACTTTCAAGGTGAAAGGCACCTTTAAAAGTTGTGGTTATTATCGTACATATTCATTTGTGATTATTTTTTAAATACCTGTTTTGTTTCTGCAGGCATTTCCTATTCAAAACAGGAACAGGGACAACACCACTGTTCAGTACTGCAACACCGGGTTACACAATGGCATCCGGCTCGGTTTACTCCCCTCCTACACGACCACTACCTAGGAACACCTTATCAAGAAGTGCTTTTAAATTTAAGAAGTCTTCAAAGTATTGTAGCTGGAAATGTACAGCACTCTGTGCTGTAGGTGTCTCGGTGCTACTGGCAATACTACTGTCTTATTTTATAGGTAAGCTTGGGTTTTTATGATTATTGTAACGATAAGCTAGTATGTCTGTTTTCCTGATTATATGTGGTCAGTGCCATCTGCACAATATAGAGAGCTATTGGTTTATATGTAAGTGCTAAAAATAATAAAGGTTGTGGAAGCAATTTAATTAAAATGTCTTCAGATGGAATACAAAATAATATATATTCAGTATATGTAGATAATATTTTTAACCATTTCCTGCAAAAAGAAAGTGAAATGTTAGTTTTAAAAAAGCAAATTATCATATATACTGTTGTTCTGGCATAAAACTATAATTCAGCAGTCATTTTATATTAGAAAGTGTTTGCATAGAAAAAGTCACATGGACAAAGTGATGTAGAAGAATTTCTGTTTCTTCACTGAGGGGGACCCTTTAGTTTTTTATATTTTAAATTCGTATTTACTCATAAATAATAGGCACCAAAAAGTATTTAACCATTACAGAATTTTGGTCTTCATTTGCATTTTATATTCATGCTCTCAGTAAGACCAGTTTTTGACTGAGGCATTAACTGCATGTGTTCCCAAATTGCTATAGAACTATTCTAAAACATTGTGATCCCAGGAATGGGCGGCAAAATGGCAAATGTGTTTCAGTATAAGAACATGTAAAGTAATGCACATTGGGCTAAAAAAATATAAAGTTTACTTATCAGCTAAAGGGTTCTGAGCTGTCCATGACAGATTAGGGAAGAGATCTTGGTGTGCTGGTGGACAGCTCAATGGAAGTGTCAACCCAGTGTTTGGAGGCAGTGAAGAAGGCCAATTCCATGTTAGGCATCATTTAAAAGGGGGTTGAAAATAAAATAGCCAACATTATAATGCCATTGTACAAAACGCTGGTAAGGCTGCACCTGGAGTATTATGTACAGTTCTGGTTGCCACACCTAATAAAAGACATAGTGGAACTGGAAAAGGTGCAGTGACTAAAATGATGACTCGGCTGAAGCACCTCACTTATGAAGAAAAGCGTTTGGGGCTCTTTAATATGGAGAAAAGGCACCGGGGCGGACATGACTGAGATGTATAGAATTATCCAGGGGATGGGTAAAGTGGATAGAGGGAAGCTCTTTTCCCTTTCATGCAATACTAGAACGAGGGGACATCCACTCAAGTTGAGTATTCAGAGAGTGAGAACAGACCAAAGAAAATATTTTTTACCCAATGTGTTGTTAGTCTGTGGAACTCCTTGCCACAGGATGTGGTCATGACATCTGGCCTAGATGCCTTTAAAAGGGGACTGGATAGATTCCTGGAGGAAAAGTCCATTGCAGGTTACAAGCCACAATAGAGATGTATAATCTTAAAGCTTAAAAGGAAGGCACCTCAAAATGCCAGATGCAGGGGAGGAGTATCAGGAGACAGGTATCTATTTGTCTTGTGTGGTCCCAGATGCATCTGCTGGGGCCATTGTGAGCTCCAGGAAGCTGGACTAGATGGGCCCTTGGCCTGATCCAGGAAGTTTCTTCTTAGGTTCTTAGGATCCAGTGGATAAAGTTAAACTATAGATCACCATATCCACTCATATCCAAATGAAAATGTACCTCATACACAGAAAATAATTTTTACTATCCTGAAATATTGATATCTTATGTTGAAATTGAATTGTTACATTTCTGTCCAAGCTACAGTAAAGCACAATGTTAAAAACCTTTGAAATGAGTGTCTGTTGAAGAAGCAGCCACTGTGAAGGGGAGCAGGCTAGGGTTAGGGAGCAATACCAGAATTTCCCCTTCCCTTTTGATAGAATATGGCTGCCTCAACAAATTTGCCAGGCTTCCTGTTGCCCAGGAGAGCCAAAGGAGTTGCCACAGGAATCAGGCCTGTGAAATTGTTCTGTCTTGGAATCATTGTAGGATATTTATTTATTTATTCATTTATTTATTTATTTATTTATTGATTTATTTCTTTATTTATTTATTTATTTATAGTTCTCTCTGCTATATGCATTATGATTTTATATGCTGAATGTATGACTCTTAGCTGAGCTGGTGGGGGTACTAAAAATGTGAAAACTCATGGCCTCAGTTTTGTTGCATTTCTTAAAACTGCACCTGTAGTTGCATGCCATCCCCTTTTTTGTACAGAAATTTTTTTAATTCCTGTATAGAAATTCATACATGTTTTGCATACCTATTTGCCATAATGTAAGCATTTTATGACCTTTCCTCATGTACAGATTTTTAATTAATTTTCTTCATTGACTAAAAGCGTGTGCACATTTTTTAACCCTATACATTTTGACCTTTTTTATTTTTAAAATGTATGTATGATTTTGTGTATACAGTATTTTGTATATAGCAAATCATGTAACTGCCAATTTCTGGGGCAGAGGCTGTTTGTCTGGTGGTGGGTCTCAGGAGGTTTGAAAAGGGGTTTTTGGTGAGAATGTTGAACCACCAACATTCTTTTTCATCTCTAGTATAAAGCTTATTGGAGTGAAAAGTACTGTGAAATCAGAATACTCAGTCATGGTTTGTAGAATGAGTAGTGTAGTTGCTGCAATCAGTTGATGTTTTTGTTTAGATTCAAAGCACAACCTAATCCCCTTCCCTTGACCCTGCAAAGCCTCGGGGCACCATAATTGCACATGAAAAAGAAAATGTAAGGCTGCATTTGAGAGTGTAGATATGCACATTTAAGTATTATTGCTTTCAAGTGCATGGTGATTAATTAATTCCTATTTAATATGTGAAAGTATAAATATGCAGTAGTGCAGTTCCTTGTTCCCCTGGACATGCCTAGTTAGTTAGTGGTTAGTTTAAAGAATACTATGTTATTGGTATGTTACTTGGTTTCTTGGAAGTTACGTTTTAACTAAATGTTTTTCTTTGACCTGGAAGGGTGGTTTAAAGGTTGCCAGTTACTGGAGAGAGTGTAGCTGTTGCTGCAGAGCTGACCTTATTTTCTACCCCTTCCGTTTCAAATGCTCTGATTCTTGGCAGGCAGACAGTACATTCAAAGGCAGTCAAAAGGATTTTTAGTATTCTAGCTCTTCTTAGCCATTTGGACGTATTGTATGCATTCTGTTGGAAACTTCCAGGGATTACATGTCTTGCAAGTTCCACTATCCCCTCCTAACCATTGCTATTCCTGCCATAAGTAACCTTTTAGTGACTATTCTACAGTATCTTCACCCTACCTGCTAGAAGACTGCTTTCCAAAATCTTATTTAATACATGAAATATACATTTAACATTTTATTTTCTAGTCTACAAGTCATCATTTTCCCTTGTAACAGAGAACACTGGTATTGTAAGGGAGGTTTACATGAGGACCTTGAGTTGTCTGCTCTCTACATGGCACCCCATACCTTATACAACTGTTTTTTTAATAAACATTTTAATAGTTTTTCAATCTATCTACATTGTTTTGTGCTTGTCAAACATCGTGTTACATGTTTTGCTTACAATTATTTGTTTTTAACATCTCAGTGTCTTCCCGGTTATCCCCCCAAATTCCAAACATCTTTCAAACATTCAAACCATTCATATATAATTTTTAGTATATAATTGACTACTATTA